ACTATCCGAATTCAGCAAGCGATCTGATACGGCACCGCTCCAAATGAAATACGTGCTACAGTTTACAGGGCCACAAAGTAACGTAAGTAAATGCTATGCGAATATAGAACTTAATGTGGGTCTGCTGATAAGCCTAATTTTTATTTTATTTTTCTCATCTCACCTTCAATAAATCATCGTCTCTCTGTTGATTGTTGACGCGCTCTTGGTTGGCATTTGGTTGGAATTTGAGTCATGCATGTCTAGACTGCTTCCTTGTTTATGGTTTCGTGGATTTTTGAGAGCACAATGATTCTAAAGAAGAACTTTTCTAATTCAGACTCATGTCCTAATGCGACATTTTCACAGAGGAGCATTACGCTCTCGTCTTGCGCCTACTCCTACCTTGGGCTTAGGATACTCGTTACATCAAGCTTCCCAACCAGCATTATAGGTCATTATCATCATCAGCAGCATCAGCATCATCATCATCAGCAGCAGCAGCAGCAGCATCAGCATCAGCATCATCAACAGCAGTACAACAGCCATTCGAACTGATGCTTCGCTGCCATACAACCATGAGGACCTATGAAATAAAGAATAAGAGGTAGAGAAGGAGGACTTACCTGAAAACCTTAATGCCCTAAGCAAACATTCTGGGTCAAGGCGCCTGCACCTTGTGTAGACAACATACTGTCACAAACAGCTGGGTATCGTGCAGAGATAAGGCGGCATCGGCGAGACACCTTCCATGCGGATTTCACTGCCACGAGTCATAAGCAGCCATTACCCCGCACATAACTAAGCACCCCACAAACTTTAAACATGCAATCCGATTAGGAGACAGCAGTAGACGCGCCACTGGTGTCGTTTGCGAGCCATGTCCTGTAAAGTCTCGAGCCAAGCACAAGGCGAGTCACGTGGATTCCAGCCCGGAAGGCGAGACACACCATCGGCACCCGGTTTGGTCGTCAGTGACTTCATTTCCCGCTGCCAAGTCAACTTCTGTCCACATCGAGGATTGCGTCACCCTGCACCTGGCAGACTAAACAAGGCCCTCCTAGGTAAGATGTGACCAGGCATACGTAGCACGTGCAACGCAACTTATGCAGTGCTATCTGTTGTTCTAGAGAGCTAGCATGATTATCACCACCTAGTACTCGCCTACGCACATCATCGTTGCGGACACGCTGGTGCCATCCGACTCCAGCAATACTTCGCAGACAACGATGGTCAAAGAGTTGAAGGCGCCTCAGAACTTCAGACGAAAGCGGCCAAGTCTCACTACCATAGAGCAGAACGGCCCTCACTGTGGCCTTGTATACACGGCCTTTCAGACGGAGGGAATTTCTTTTCTGTCGAAAAAGATGCCGCACGTTCAAGAAGGTAGCTCCGGCTTTTGCAATGCGTCAGCTGACGCCAGTTTCTATGCACCCATCATTACTGATGCAGCAGCCAAGTTAAGTAAAATGATCAACCACCTCGAGTTTCACGTTAGAAAGGGTCAATGGGTCATCAAGTAGTTGGTGGTCCTGCAGCAACACTTTGCACTTTGAAGGTGCGAAGTGCATACCAAATAATGGGAGCACTCTGGACAGGCTATTCAGGGTTGATTGTGCCGCCCCAACATCGTCGAAAAACAAGACGATATCGTCCGCAAAATATAGGTCAAGTAACCTTTCACCAGGCAGCACTACAACGCCTACATCGTGAGATTCCGCAAAGGAACACTCCATGATAGAATCCACGACGAAAGTGAACGAAAATGGGGAAATCGGACAACCCTGAAGACCGCCAGTTGTGGTCGGAAAGCTAACCGATAGGCTACCGTAGACCCTGATGCGGCCTGTAGTGTTCGAGTATAGAGCACGAAGGATGTTCGCATATTTCGTGTGAACACATTTCCGCACAAGTAATTCGAACAGAATCGATCGATCGACTGAATCGAACGCACTCTTGAAATCGAGGAACTGTTACGGATGCGAAACAGCTGACTACGATGGTGCACACTAGCGGGGCGAGATCGGCCAGATCACGTGAGCGGCTGACAGGCTCGTTGTCATGGTCAAACCGGAAGCTGACGAAATCAGACCGTCGTCGCCGCACGGGTTGCTATGTTACGGACGTGATCCTACCTACAATCAGAGAGAGATGGGCGCTACCAGAGTCGAATCTGTCTAGACAAGAGGTGTGACTCACCTCAGTGATAGAGGCGAGGTAGACGCGTGTGACCTATAAATGTAGCCAGGTTTTGTGCCCAATATACCTCGGTCTAGCAGGCTCTGTGTTTTGTTTTCACCGGCTGGTTGGTAGCGCAGAGAGACAGAGAGGCAAAAGGGCAGCGTTATAACAGGAACACAGCTATTGTCGGCCTGTGGTATGCGTGGCGCTGATCTAGCACCTGCCGCAAGGTGAATATATGGTCTATACAACAAGGTCCTGGACGGAAACCAGCCTGCTCTTCCCTAATCCGAGATTCCCGTTCCGCAGTGAGGCGACGAACGATGACCGAGGCCAATACTTTTCTCACAACTGGCGTTAGGCTAATACCCCTGTGGTTAGAACAGTCTGTGCGATTACCCTTCTTGTATATTGCCACTATAATCGATTCGCTCCAATTAGCCGGGACACTTCCTTCCAGGTACGTTGGAATAGGGAGATCAGTGCAGGAGGGAGGGAATCCGGGCCAGCGGGACGAAAACGATTAAGGGCTGTGATCGCGTTTCGGACCTCGGACTCCGACAAAGGCTCTAAACTAACCGCGAATGGTTCGTGCTGCATCACCAGTGTAGGAAGAGGTTCGGAAGCAGGGGACCAGCTGAACTGATTTTGAAAGTGTTCCGCCCAACGAGCCATACGGCGCTCCTTATTGTTTGTCAGCGCACCCGCGCTGTCTCTGATTGTCTCACTGAGTCCTGTTTTTCTGGGACCAGTAGAGCGGAGTAGCTGGAAAAGCTTGCAGTAATCGCCTACAGCTCCTGCCTCTTCCATTTCTTAAGCCCGACTGGTCCAGCAGGCTTCCTTGTCAGCACGTAGGCTCTGCTTTAGTTCATGCCTAATATTCCGTCTGGTCACATTGTGTTCAGAGCCAGCCGGGAGGTGTCTTCTAGATTCCAACAGGTTCACCGACCTCTCGTACATCCAGTGACTCGTGCGGTGACGATGGATAGTGCCACAAGAAGATGCTCCTGCGTCATGCATGGCGGCCGAGATCCTATTCCACTGAAGCTCGTTGTGATTGGGACAAGACAGCGGAAGTTCGGTATACGGTGCTTCTTGATAGGCTTGCCTGACCGAGGACTGAGACAACTTCTCAGTTGCCAATCGTAGGGGATGCTTTGTACGCCTCCTGGTAAAGTTCATGGAGACCCAACAGCGTAACAAGGCATGATCAGAGTCGACACAGGTACTCCAGTACGAGTTGCAACACAGGATGGAATCATGCCATCTGTACCTTAGGGCTATGTGGTCAATTTGGGTCCATCGCTGGCCAGCTACAGGAGGACGCCAAGTAGCACTTCGACGCCTACTGTGTCTAAAAGCAGTGCTACTAAGAAACAACTGGTGCTCCGCACACAGTTGCAGCAGACGCTCACTGTTGTCAGTCCGTTCGGAGTTAAGCCCACAATTACCACTCAGCTGAGCTTCTGAAGAGCTCAGACGCCCTGCTTGTGCGTTCATATCCCCTGCAAGTACTATAATATCTGAACTAGTAGCACCGCGCAGTAGCGCGTTCAGTTCGGCATAGAATGTATCCTTGACAACATCTGAACTGCAGTCGATGGGAGCATAAGCGAAAATCACAAACGAATAGCGTTTTGTACTACTTCGTAAATCAACCTTAGCTGATGTCGTCAAACGGACTGTACATAAACGGCTGTCCACCGGAATACAATCAACCAACGATGGCACAGCGTTGGAGCTTAGAATGACACCTACAATAACTTGATCCGTGAGTGCTGCATCGGCGTCTCCGGATGCGTGCAACCAATAACGAGAGGATAAGCCGGGTGCAGTCAATTCAATAACCCCGTTAGGGTTATTGATCCTAGTTTCGGACACACAACACACATCAATACCCAGTGTGTCCAAGATGCGTGCGAACGCAGCCTGTTGCCTTGTTTGTCTTAGAGTGCGAACGTTGAATGTCGCCACAGAAACGGGATAGCGTGGCCTTATAAGGGACTTTTGCCGGTAGGCGTCCGATAGGTGCTGTGAGAGGGTGGCTGCAGATGTTTCTACTCCAGTGGCACTTCGATTGCTGTCAAACTAAGCTGGGAAGTATAGAAGGAAGGTTAGTAATAGGGTCGTGATCGGAGTAAGAGAAAAAGATGGAACAGAAGGTAGGGAGGCGCCAGCAGTAGCATGTTTTCGCTTCTCCGCCCTGCTGTATGCAGCAGATAGTGCGACTGTTGGTAATCTGCGCGACGGCCGATGCAGGATGAAGTTTATGTTTGAAGAAAATGTCATGGTTATATGTAGGCTGGGATACTGTCGGCGTGCCTAGACCTAGACAGGAGGATGATTATGGTGCTCATCCAAAGCCTTTGGCTCAAAATCCTGTCCGCAAGGCAGCGGGGAGGTGGCAATGATTTAGTTTTACAGAAATGGACGCCATTCCATTTCAAACCTCCAACCTGGAGGACCAGGAGACTGAGTTTTTCTGACCTCTCACCATTGACCAACGTGGTAGGAGTAGCTCTCAATGTGCCCAGATGCACCACCCAGTATGGCTCAATGGATCAATGACGTAAGCACACCGTCGCACCACGTTAAGGTCCAGTCTCGTTGTGACGGAGCATTCTAGGTGAAGTAAACACACCGCCTTATCTATAAGAACTTTGAGGTTGTGATCATCAGAAGAGAGTAACAGTGAAAAAAGTGGAGCGTACCTTAACAAGACAGTGTTAGTTGCCTACAGCACTTCGGCAAACGTGTCCGTGTAAGTTATGCAATTGTCTTACGATTTTCGATATCGTTCTAGTAGCGTTCGGCATCATTGTAGAAGCTTATGGACTAACTTGGTGGGCCAATTCCGCAGCGTATGCGGCTGACTCGTCTGGGTGACGAGCGAAGCCTCCTTCCATTTGGTCAGAGCCAGATATAAGAATAGCTCTTTGAAAAAGTGGAGGTGTCCGACGGGCCGAATGTTTTGATAATAAGTGTAGTGCCACGTCGGCAGCCGCGGATCCATGTCCAACAAGGGTTATCTGAATAAAAGAGTGGATGAGAATAAACAAGCGTGCCTTTGAAACAAATCGAAATTGGTGTGACTGTGGTTAATCAGTAACACATCGTACGTCAACGTACGTCGTGTGATTCTCATTAAGTTCTAATAATGATAAACACACGTCGGGCTAGGTAATCCATCCAATAAAATGAACTCACCTAATAGGCGGATACTCTTCAACCAGAAAAGTTTATTTATGCAAAGGTGCATATATATATATATATATATATATATATATATGCTGTAGAAAGTCACCATCAGGGATGTGGGTGAATCGACGGAGGTCTGTTTGGGAATCTATCAACTCTAAGCGAAGACAAGTGACAAACCGGAAAACCACAAACCAGTCACAGCAACAACAGCGAGGGAACATCAAGAATTCTGAAACCGTTAACCTGGTATGTGCCAGAAATTCTCGCCCACAACAAAACAAATGGGATCCTGTTGAATTTACTAGATACTAAGCAGCAGACAACAAAGATTTTTTGAAACCGAGTACTCAACAATGCATTGTCGCTATGGATGATCACGTTGGACCATGCTTCTCAATAGGTATCGCTCCGGAACATCCGTGGAAAATGAACAGTTCCGGCAAGTAACTGACTAGAGATTAGTATAATGATGTCGACATTTTATGTTCGGGATCACATGTTACCCATAAGCATGAGCGTAGCAGTATTTCGCGTTCTTTGTCCGTTTACTTTAATCAAAACTTATGAAAATCAGTGGTCTGGTCTGTATCAGTTAAATTAAGCGCACTGTTTCCTTGATAATTCTAAAACGTTGCTTACCCTAGCTGTCATCTACTGTAGGTCACTGATATTCTATCGATCATGCAATTTGATTGGGTACGGTTTCCCTGTAAAGCGATTAACTACTGACCCGGTGCCATCCATTATCTGCATGGCACTTGTCTAAGACGTAAGATCCACATCTAACTTACCTCTTATTTGGGCTTATCTAACTGGGTGTGTAGCCTACTACTGTTTTGTTCTCCATGTGCCCCATACTATCCAAAATACCTTCGCAAGTTATTTCTAGTACGGTGACATGACAAGACTAACACAAACTATAGACTTTGCCAAGCTGGATAAGAAGTAATCCACTGTATGTGATTTGCTCGATTCCGCTACTCGGCTGCATATTCCGTGTCAAATAATGCGTGTTTATTTTCTTTCAAATTCTGTGTTGGTTGTTTAATAACCCCGGAGTGGTTGCGCTTGAGGCGCATGTTGGCAAGGTGCCTGATATGACTTGAACTACTACAAGTAGGTGGATAAAAGACTACATCTTGTAAAATGACCAGGTAGTACTGATACCACGCGAGCAAGAGTCAAGAGTCAACGTGTGTCCCGTAATGGCTGTTATGCGGTTCATTAATGGTTAACTCACTGATGATTAGCTGAGCAGTGGTTCAATCTGATTGCATCGGGGGACAGTTGGGATCGGGTCAGGTGCAGCATTTGCGTTAGGCTACCATATCTGACACCTCCCAGTTCTGTTTAAATGTCTACCTGAAGCCTTCAGCCCTTGAGTCCGATGGCTATCGATACCGCACGGGGCGTCGGCAACGAGAACTCCTCCAATACTATCTGAAAATCAAGCTTGGGATTGCGGTGTGGTAAACAATGATTACTGCTGAAGCGAAGGCTGAGCTGGTTCTTGTGGCAGTGCCAAGTTTCGCCGTGGACTTATATTAGGTAGGTGACTAGACCAATCTGTTGTTAACTGCAACTGGAGCTCATCTGTTTTTCCATTGACGAAAATCGCTTGCCCGCACAAGGTCACCTACCTGTAGATTCTGCACCGTCCCACGCTGCAGGTGTTGTGACATTTCAGTACTTTTCAGGTCGGCTAGTTGTTTTTACTTCGGAATAATTTTATCTCAGACAGACCTGATTTGTCTGTCCAATAGCATCTCTGACCGTGACCTTCCATTACCCGCGGGGAGTGGAGTGATTCAATACAACATGAGGAAGGTTTGTATGCACTCGTCCGTGGGACCGTTCCCCCTCGATTTGATAAGTGTACGCTTGAAATTGTCAACAAAGCGGTCCACCTGACCATTAGTTTGAGGGTGTAAGGGTGGTGTTCGCATATGCGTTACACCATGGGAGTGACAGAATGTCGCGACTTCCTCCGCGGTGAACTGTGCTCCATTATCAGTCACAAATGTTTCGGTCACACCAAAGCGACTGAAAAGCTGGCGCAGCTGCCTGATGGTTCTTGATCTAGTGGTTGAGGTCAACATTGAGATGACCTCTGGCCGTTTAGTGTGAGCGCCGATTATAATGAGATATGAATTACCGTCGACTGGGCCTGCAAAGTCCGCATGAACACGAGACCATGGAATTATCGTTTCCGGTCACGGTAAGGGCGCTAGACGGTTCTGCGCTCGTTGCGTCATAGCACATTGTTCACAACGCTTACACAAGTGCAAGATATCACTATCCATTTTTGGCCAGTGAACGTAATCTCTGTTTAGTACCTTAGTGCGGCTGATTCCTTGAAGCCCGTTATGAGGTTAAATGAAAATGGGACGTTGTAAAGATGTGGGGATAAGCACACATTCAACGAAAAGCAAACATGAAGCGACAATGGATAAACTGTGTTGGCACCGATGATAAGGGATGACTTCGGAATCGGACACTTGTGATGGCCAACCTTCTTTGACGTGCTTCATCACTTTACGAAGGAAGGCATCCTGTGCTATGTGCTGTTGTTTAGATTTCAGCGAGACTGGTAGGCATTTCGCAGTTTCGACAAGTACCCGATTGATCTCCTGGTCCACTTTAGCAATGGCAATCACCGTCTCGTTGTTGTCTGCCGGATGATCAGCAATTAGTTGAGATAAAACATCGGCTTGCCCAAAATCGGTTGTCGACTGATAGTGGAAGCTAAAATCGTATGCCAGTAAAGATAGAGCCCATCTCTGTAAACGGTTAGCGGTGGTTTCCGGCATACCTTTGTGTGCGCCGAAAATGGACAGCAATGGTTGGTGATCCATAGGTAACTTGAAACGTCTACCGCATTGCATTTGGGGAAACTTATTACCAGCGAATACGATAGCCAGGTCTTTCTTTTCCACCTGAGACTAATTCTCCGCTGCTGATAATGATCCAGCTACTTAGATAACTACTTCTCAGAGCTGTCTGGGAAAAGGTGGGATAACACAGCTCCGATACCATAGTTGTTTGCCTTGGCACCTAGGACACTCGGAAGTTTAGGACCAAAATGTATGGGAAGGAGATCGGGAGTTAACATATCTTTTATCCGATCAACCGCTGTTTGGTACTCGGTCGACCAGTTCCACTTGACCTCTTTCATGAGTAGGGCGTTCAGAGGTGCTCGCAGTTGATGTACTTTCCAGGAGGCAGTTAGAGTAGTGACTAACTATTCCTGGGAAGAGCGTAGTGTACTCACGTCTGTTGGTGCTGGCATGTTAACACTAGCTGAAATGTTCCCTGTATCAGGACGACTTCCGTTCTGATCAATAGTAAATCCCAGGTATTTAATCTGTGGTAGGAGTAAACTGCACTTCTCCGGTCGCAGACGTAATCCGTAGTCTTTTATTCTATCCAAGACTTGGTTGAGCCTCAATGCTAGTTCCTCCGGATTCGCTCCCACAATTAAGACGCCATCTAAATAACCGGTAACATCGTCGATGCCCGTGAGCATTGTATCCATTAGCTGCTGCAAAATAGCTGACGCTGTTTTTATCTCGAACGGTAATCGGTTAAAGTGAAACAGTCCACGATGTGTGTTAATTGACAACAATTCCTTTGACCTATCCTCAACAGCGAGCTGTAGATATGCGTCCGCTAGATCCAAATTGGCGAACAAGCTATCACCTGAAAATTTCGCAAAGATGTGTTGTTGAACTGGTAACGGATACTTAGGCGTCTAAAGAGCCTCACTGAGACCTGTTGAAAAATCTACACGTACACGGATGGAGCGATTAGCCTTTCATGCTACCCCAATGTGAGCATCCCAGTCGCAGAGATCGACCGGGTGGATGACATCTGCTATTTGTGGATGCTTAATCTCTTGCTCAACACTGGTTAGGGCAAAATACGGTACTGGCCCTTTTGGACGAAAAACTGGTTTAGCATCTGTTCTCAACTCTAATTGGGTCTTCATTTTGGTACAAAATCCAAAGCCGTCCTGAAAAACTACTGCGTATCGCTGAAACAACGGCTGTGAAATCGTCTGCAGGAGCCCTGCATTGCTACTTATGAGTGGAACGTCTATACCCAATGTCAGTTTGCATGCTTTATCAAAAGGAATCCTTCAAAGATTGAGCTTATCTAGCCAGTCAATACTAGGATTGTTTAGCCCTGACTGATTAGTGAGATAAAATAGACTCAACCGGTCGCGGGATACCCATTAACACTTACTGTCAGGTAGCGCCTACGGGCTATCACGTTGACCTGATGGGTAGCTAGCCTTCCTCTGTGTTGGCTTCGAAGATTGTTGGAATTGTCAGTTTTAGTCGACTTATGTGGCTTGCAGAAACCATCTTTGTGACCAAAACCTTGATATTGGTTACATCGACGACGGCGAAAAGTGCACTGTGATGCGAAGTGCCATGCGCCACTGTTCCAACAAGCTGTATGCGGCTTTTTGGACTCTTGTTGGTTTGATCTGATCGGTCAAACATTCATTATGTTGATCTGCCGCTGTTCCACCATACTGAAATAATGCTTCAGGTTAAGCATTGTGATGTCTGGGTCTTGCTCCAGCTTGGTGAGAAGTCGTGTGCAGATCTCCGCTTCTGACCGAGACTGGAGACCACGGATGAGCATCAGACGCTTGAAAGTATGCGCCGGTCCCGAATAAATTTTAAAACGTTCGCACTCTTGGTTGACTATACCTGCATAGGTAATGTAGTCATCCATGGAGTGTTGGCCAAGTTTTAAACAGTGGTAGCCTGTGCTGAAGATTGAGGAACGTTCGCCAAAGATCTGATTGAGACACTGC